TTTGTGTTTTTTTTTTCCCAGCAAGAACAAATCATTTTGGAATCTGATTAATTTTACTGTGGTAAAAATACCTTAGCACAAAGTTCATATTCAATAAGTACTAGTGGCTATCATTGTCATAATTATTTCTATCACTTTATGCAGAGCAGGGTGCTGTGGGTTCTATACAGAAGTGTTCACCCTTTCCATGGGCTCTCGGAGGTATCTCCCAGAGTGGGAGCTCTCTGTCCTCGGGAAGGATTTCTCCCTACTCATAACAAATTAATACATGTTTTATTTTCCTAGAGTTCTGCATATTTTTCATCCACTGCTTTCACTTTGTTTTCAAGATGACCCCATGACCCCCAAACAATTAGTGATCATTAATTCTGGTTCAGGCTTCTCATTTTAGAGATGAAAAAACCAGAATCACAGGTAGGTAAGTTGTTTGAGCTCACACAGATATTCATAACACAGTGAGGACACGACTATGGTTCTTAAGACCCCAACCTGGTGTTTCATTTTCTGTTCTTTGCTGCATATATAAGAGGAGAAAAGGAAGACTGCTTGAGGTGTGCAACGGGAGAGGGGGTATCAAAGGCATTTCCCCATTGTTTCAAGGTTACCATTTACCTGAATTAATGGACTCCACCTGCCTGCCCACATTTGGAATCCACAACTATAGTGGATATTACTGCCACATCACTCTCATATTTCTCTTTGTCCATACTATTAATAGCCTTCTTAGATCAGAGATGACTGACAAGCAGAATTGCAAGGTCAATGATCCCTCACGTGCTGAAGGAGGAGTATCTTTTCCGAGAGAAGATGAGGTGGAGTGTAAGAAATATTCAGCTGGGAACCAGTCATTAGCTGATGGTTTCTTAATCTCTTTTGGTCTGGGGATTTCTCATCAGTAAAATGAGTGGGCTGGATAGTGTCGATCGACTTCCAAGTTTTTTGATTGTGACCATGAAAAAAATACCTGGAATATGAATGTGTATGTACATATTTTGAAAACTTTTTCAGTAAATTATTCTTACCCATATAATATGGGATACATCCTGATAATTTAGATCCTATTTCTTCCTTTTTTTAATGAAAAATTCTGACTGTTGTCACAATCCATTAAGTTGATTTTACCGCCTCCTAATGGAGACCGGCAGTTGAAAATACTGGGTGATCTCCAAGTCATTCACTCACTTAGTTGGTCAATCATTGTACAACTGTTTATTGAGTATCCAAACTGTGTTGGGATCCAGGAAGATGGCAGTGACCAAAACAAATAACCTATCTTTATGATGCTTATATCCTGTGAAATCTCTGATTCTGTGAGGTGATGTTTGATAGGCTTTTTCAGAGAGAAGGGAATGCCATCTGAATCAGCCAAAGTCATAGAATGTGTCTGACTTAAGGAAGAAAAAAGCAGCAGAAACACAAGTTTTTTGGAACCCCTGGCAGGAAACCACTGCAAGGCCAAAACTAAACCCAAACTGCATGAGTTTGTGTCAAATGAAGATTTCCTGTGGGTCCTAAATCTGCCCCTATAACTACTTGGAAATCCCTGATGGTGTTTCTCTCTCCTTCTACCATACTTTGCAAAGATCGAAGTGGCTTGACTGGGCACTCTTCTAAGATAAGAGATTCCAGAAACTAAGGAGTGAGTGGTGGAAAGGAATGCTGGGTAGCACTCTGACTGAGGGACACTCCCCTGCAAGGTCTTACCACTATGGCCACACACTAGCCACACCCCCAGCACTTTCAAACTTACAGGTGTAGAATTGAGTTTTTCAGAAACCATGTTGTACCGTTTTTATCCAGCAGAGGGAAGTAGAGCACCCAAAATCATTGCATAAATACCTACCGGACGGACACACACACACACACACACACACACACACACACACCCTGCTTGATATATGTCCTGTGACTTTAGGTACTGAAGAATAATATCACAGGATTGCAAACAAATTCTGGATAAAGCCAGCATTCTGGGCAAAATCCTGAAAAAGGAGACGCCTAATTTTTACAACTGCTTTATTTTAACCTCTGCCAGTCTGCTATCTCCCATCAGTTCCTGGGAGTCATCATCCAGCATGAGGCCCTCTTTCGGGTTTGGTCTGCTGGCAGACTGATCATTCCATATTTTCCTTTCCCCACGTTGTGAAACACCTGCTAAAGTCATGCGATATTTCTGTGGTCTTCTGAGTCCAGGCTTTATGCACAGCCTTCAGACCGTGGCACTTTTTACTTGAGCTGTCAGGGATGGTCAGTTTCCTGATCCCTCCTGTATATTGCACCAAGGAAAATGGTGAGTGCAAACTGAAGCCTGATCCATGCTAAGTAGTCATGTTTGGGAGAAACGGGATATAAACTCTTTTTTTTTTTTTAAAGATTTTTATTTATTTATTTGTCAGAGGGAGAGAGAGCACAAGCAGGGGGAGCAGTAGAGGGAGAGGGAGAAGCAGGCTCCTCACTGAGCTAGGAGCCTGATGTGGGACTCTATCCCAGGACCCTGGGATCATGACCTGAGCCGAAGGCAGACGCTTAACGACTGAGCCACCCAGGCGTCCCCGGGATATAAACTCTTTAAAAAAAGATTTTATTTACTTATTTGAGAGAGTGAGCAAGAGAGAGAGCACAAGCCGGGCGGTGGGGGGAGAGGGAGAGGGAGAAGCAGGCTTCCCGCTGAGCAGAGAGCCTGATGCGGGGCTTGATCCCGGGACCCTGGGATCATGACCTGAGCCAAAGGCAGCGGCTTAACTGACTGAGTCACCCAGACGCCCTGTGATATAAACTCTTAATCATACCAAACTTCAGGGTTCAAGCAGTTTTCCGAAGCCCTACCTTTATTTTTTTTATTTTTCCCCCCCTTCTTTACACACTTGCCCCTGTGCTTTTTAGCATCAATGCAACACGGCCCAGCTTCCTCTCCTCAGGGGTGATGGCATTTTTAGGAGAATATAGACCAAGAAAAGTTTTCCTCACCATGCACTTCTAGGGTCTGAAAGTATTAAAACACACTTGGTTAGCCATTTAACTAGTGTGTTCTTCTGGAACAGAAAGGCATTTGAGCAGAGGCCACTCCTCAAATAGAAACAGATGACACAATGGACAATAGACTTAGGCATGACTTACCCTTTCCAGCCCCCATGGACTCCTTCCCTACCCAATCTAGGGAATATAGACCCAAGTGCGACCATGCAGTTAGTCCAGAAGGGCTCTTTCAAGTGTATCCTAATGCCATGGATTTACTTTTATTAAGATAGAGAGGAGGGCAGGATCGTATAACTGGTAAGAGTTAAAAGGTTATTATCAAGAGTCAGCAAGAATTATAGCTACCAGTGTTTCTGGATACTCAGCATCAGTGAAGTGGAGAGAAGTGAGAGAGGCATCTTTAACCTCTTTAAAGGCTGAACCTGCCATTTTGAAGTATTCTTCCAGTAGCTGGCTTGTATCCTAGGTCAGTGGCTAAGATATAATGCAATGGACAGATGCTTTTAAAGTTTTCAGTAAAGTCAACAATGGTAATTCATCGATTTTTAAAGCATTAAATGCCTGCATTAAAGTAATATACTAATAGAAAATTTTTAAAAATTTAAACGTAAAAAAAGGGGAGGGGACAAGAACAGGAAAACAGAAGTAGTGAGGAGAGAGGAGGGGTTGGCGGAAAATAAACTAGGCAGGATGTGGTAGACAGCCACCAATAACTGCTTCAGGTGCCACCAGTGGATTCATGTCCTTCACCCCCTGAGCTTCATGCCCATTAGTGAGGCCCAACAGGGGGATTTGCTCTGACAAGTGGCAATAAAACTAAAGCTGCTGTCTGCATTAGCACTCAACTGCCCATGACGTAGAGCTATGCTTTCTGTGGCAGGCTTGCTACTCTATCATGTTCCTAAACTGGCTCATTATCAGGAACAGCTGTTATAAAAATCAGATTCCTGAACTCTATTTCAGACCTAATGAATCCCATGTCTGGGCACCAGGGTTTTGTTTGCTTTTTGTTTTTATTTTTAAACTCCTCGGTGCTGATGGATAGGGTTTTCTTTCTTTCCTGAAGATGCTTCAGGAACGAGATTATATTTCTTTAAAGGCATAATAATTTAAACAAGTTTTATAAAAATCACCAAAGGCGAGAATACCTACGATCCTGACACTATTTCAAAACCCCACTTGTTTGCGTCTTTATGACTTAGTTTTCTCTTGGAAGGAGATGCATTTCCCCCTGTGGGTCGGATCTTTGCATTGCAGCGGCAGAGAGGTATAGAGATCAAGAGAATTGAGATAAGCACCCTATAGCTCTACAGTCAAGGAATATTGAGTGTCCTGGGGTGAATAGGCAAGGCCCAGCCTTCAAGAATTGAGAGGCTGGGGCGCCTGGGTGGCTCAGTCATTAAGCGTCTGCCTTCGGCTCAGGTCATGATCTCGGGATCCTCGGATCGAGCCCCGCATCGGGCTCCCTGCTCAGCGGGGAGCCTGCTTCTCCCTCTCCCACTCCCCCTGCTTGTGTTCCCTCTCTCGCTGTGTCTCTGTCAAATAAATAAATAAAATCTTTAAAAAAAAAAAAAGAATTGAGAGGCCGCAGAGCGGCAGGTATTGACCCGTAGAATAAAGAGAGGCGAAGATGGAAAATAATGCAGCAATGGGAGGATCAGGGACGATCGGTTGCATTAGTTCCCTGAACATCCTTGAGCAAGAGATACAACCATGAGTAATCCGCAGCCCCTGCCCCCAACAAGCACGGGCACGGGGTGGCACTTTCAACCGGAACCAACCATTTACACTTCAGTGTGAACCGGGACAAGAGCCCTATTCCCAAGCCTGGGAGAAGACGGGACCCGAGCTCACGGCTCGGGAGGGGAGCTGTGAGGACTGGGTGGACGGAAGGAAGCACCTTCCCCTCCACTGTAGCCCCTCTAAAGGCCGGGCCCCATCCCTGCACCTCAAGGTGACGAGGGGAGCCTCCTCGCAGTCCCCTCCTCCCACCACGCCCACCAGCTTCCACCTCAGTCAGAAAGCCAGGCCCGCGGGCGGCGCACGCGCAGACCCGTCGCGCCCGCGCCTCAGGCCCCGCCCCCGCGCGCGGCGCTCCGGGTGTTTGGCATTACCATGGAGCTTCGCGAGGCAGGCGGACGCGGCTCGTCGCCCCGGCAACCCGGGAGGCCAACACCGGACTCAGGTGGCAGCGGCGAAAGCGGCGGCGATGGTGTCCAACCCTGTGCATGGCCTGCCCTTTCTCCCGGGCACGTCCTTTAAGGACGCCACGGTGAGGACTTCTCTGCCCCACCCCCACCCGGCCCCACCCCCGGGCGGCCTCGGAGAGCTCGCCCCTTGGTGCACCTGCCTCCTCCCCCCAAGATTGCCCTTTCCCTTCAGACCCCGTCCTCTGTCCCCACCTTTTCTCAGTCCGCCACCACAATTCCTGCGTCCTCCCCCTCCAGCCTCACCCTCTCTCTCCCAGCCTTTGCCCTCCGCTCCATCCTCTCTAGTTTTTTCACTCCATCCTGGCAGTCTCTTGGCCTCCTTCGTTCTCGTCGGCCTAGCTGCGTTCTTCCTCCTGCCCTGCTCCTTTAGCCCCTGCCTCTCCTCCCTCAAGATCTCTGTTTTCCCCCACTTTCCTCCCAAGCTCTGGCTATGTCCTCTCCTAGCTCATTCTCCCCCACCGGACCCTCTCTGCCCAGCTTCCTTCTTGACCACCCTCAGTCCCCCAGGCTAGCCCCTTCTCCCACTCAGCCTCCCTACATCTTCGTCCTCCTTCCCACAGCCGCATCCTGCCCATCTCCCCAGGCCTGTCATTCCCGCTCGCCTCCTTCCTCTTCCTTCTGGACCCACTGATCTTACCCCCTTCCAGCTCCGTCTCCTGTCTTATATAAATCATTTCCGCTCATTCTCCTCTTTCCACCAGGTTCTTTTACGCAGTCTCCGCCCGCCTCATTTATGCTCCTACCTAGCCCCATGCCCTTTCCGTTCAGCACTTCGGACTTGTCTACAGCCTAGTCCCACCTTCTCCCCAGTCCTGTTTTATCTTCTTTCTCAATTGCTGTTTCTCCAAAAGTTAGACTTTCAACACTTGCCTATCTTCCTCCCAAACCATCCCTCCCTGCTTTGTAGGAGATAATTCCATTCCAGTCCTTTCAACCACAATTGATTAGCTGTTTTTTTTTTCTTCCCCTAGTCCTATTCTTTTCTAACATTTTAATGAAAGATGCCTGATTAGATGATTTTGCTCCTTTGCTACTTTAACTGTTTTTAGTTGTATTCTGTAGACCAAAAAAAAAAAAAA